ATTAACATTTCTAGGACATACCGCTGCTGTTGATACATACTGTAGCACTGCATTGAAAAGGATACTGGCAAACTAATATTGCATACCCTATAGCAAAGAAGAATGGAAAGAGAAGAATGGAAACACAAAAAGTATCGGCTGTGGAGTGTTCTTTGGGTGTCTCCACAGCCGATACTTTTTGTGTTTCCATTCTTCTCTTTTCAGCAGGGAATAAACCTTTACTTGTTCCTTTGCAGCCTACGCATGCTGACGCAGCTACCTGCTTGCACAGCGTATAGTTTTCTTGTGCAAGGGCAAAAGAAAACTAGGAGGAATGTTATGGCATTGGCATGTATGTTTATACCCGCCATAGAGAGAAGTTGCAAATGGTGAGACTGTAGTCACACTTCAGGCATTTATGATTTTTCAGGCCAAGAAGCGCCCATTAGAATTCTTTTTGAGTCTGATGTTGAATCCGGTAATATGAAAACACCTTCGGAGAGGTCCTTACAAAGAACTCCAGACAACCTAGTCACAGAAATATTTGTTTCTGAAGAAAACATTAATAGAATGGAAAACATACTGGATATCTGGGGCAACAACTTGAAGGTGAGAATGTTCATGGGACTTAACATATGCACCTCCAAAATTGTTTTCCTAAATTCACTTAATTTTATCTTAATTATTTTTGTATAATAGCAGATTTTGTGGGCTGACATTTTACTTTGTCTGTGCTATGATGGGCAAATATGTGGCAGATTACATTAAATACAGCATATGCAAATGCAGAATATTACATGCAGATAGCAAAAAATATAATGGGAAACACATCTTTTAAACAATATGAGATTGGTTCCATCTGAAATGGGGGATTGAACAAAAAAGATGACATTGTTCTAACATTGCTAAACATTTGCAAAATAATATACAGAAACAAAGGGTGACATTCTGTACTTTAGACTAAATAATATTTTTTTTGTTATCTTTAATATAGATTTCATTAGTACATAGCAAAAATAACAAATTTAAATTCACTGTCCCAATAAGTAAGCCTTTCACTGTGTGTACAGTTTTAATATAATAATCTCATTGTGTTTATGTGATGATTACATTTTACATCCTATTTGTAGTGGCCTCATTCATTAAATGTATCCTACCCACTGTGTTGTATTTAAACTCAACCTGAATATTGTAAGCTGTATTGGATGAGGGCATTTGTAAAACATATAACGTTTTTCATGTTTGAACTGTTATGTCCATAATATTGATATTGAATATCATAATATTCAATCTAGCACAGACACTGCTGTATACAAGACATTTTGCAGAAAAAATATTTATGGCAATTGTCTGCATTGGTTTAACCATTTTAAGATTATAGAAAGGAACAAATTGTAATAACAAAGAATGCTTGACAGTGAGTCAGATAGAGTTAATTGGTAAATGTGATGGATTACAACACTCCATATTGTAATCCATATTGATATCTAATTTCTCCTGAGTTGTTGTGATTAACACTGTTAAACTTTCCAGTCATTGTGGGTTAAAAATTGCTTAATTGTACGCTTCGTTTCTGGTCACACAAACTAAGCTGCAGTAGTAACAGTTATTATATAAGTGAATGTTAAATAAGTTGTTGGTACTCATAACATACATATAAACCTTTAAACAGCAGTGTCCTTTGTTAACCATATGCATTTAAGTCTTATTACGTTTTAATTACATACATATAAGCTGTAATTGTTCAACTATTGCATGATTTACCAGAAATAGACCCAAAATAATACTCTTGTGAATTTCATGTTATTAAAGCCATAGACTAAATGAAGGTCACAGGGCACAATATACATTGTTATGACAGCTACAATAAACATGTACCAATTAATGCTTAATTTTGCAGTACAGCATTAAGTATCAAATTGGTAAACTACATATGTTGGAGCTTGAGGGACTTTTCTGTAGGGAGACACTTTCTGGCTTCTGGAGTATAATGAAAGGTGTTTAATAAGTCTCTGTGACCTTCAGCTTTAAAGGGGCATTTTATACATAAGATATTCTGTACTTCTGTGTCAGGAAAATGTCATGATGGAGCTGAGAAAGTGGAAGGTTTCCTTCATTGAACAGCACAGACGGGAACTGAAGAAGGAAAGGGAAAAACATGCTTCCCAGATGGCTGAGTTTGTGACTGAAATGGACAATCTAAAGGAATTGTTACATACTTACGAGATATCAAACCAAAGGAAGGATGAGGTATGATGAAAATGATGTATTATTAGCATACAGTACATGTGACTGAAACCCATCTCCCAAATACATTACTCTATATTGGATTAACATATAAGAAGTGGACAATTTTGAAAATATAGCACAATTTTTAATTCTTTAATTTTAAGAATATAGATGTCTCTATGTTAACCTTTGCTGGTAATAAACTTCACATTAAACTGGTTATCTTGGAGAATCTCAGTCGTTTTTTCATTTACCTTTTGTGATAAAGTAATTGCATTAGTTGGCTTTGAACATTATTTTTGTAAATCCTATGTTTGATGGACCTATTGTGTTGTCAACTGTGAAGAAATGTATGCTGAACAGTGAATACATTCATTTTATTTCTAGGTGATCTCTAATCTGACCCAAGGCATAGAGAGACAGAGGGAGAAACTGGAACTGATGCGAACCTTCACTCACTGGAGAATCCAACACAGTGAAGCCAGGGAGGAGGTAACACTGATGGGCATGAATGTGATGGCTGTGTCGCTTTATTGGAAAAGTTTAGTGACTGGAATTCAGCTCAGATGAGGAGCAACAGTACATGGCTTTCTCTGTGTGCCTTTCATATTGAAAAGCTAACTTTAAGTAAAGATTGACATAAAAAAGTGTTTGCGTGATTAAATAAAAACAAAAGGATACTATATATTTATTCCAGGTATTTTTGTAAGACTTAAATCATGCAGTAGCTGGGCAGTTTTCTATAGGATTCATTTATTGTTAAGTTTTGTTTTTGTCAAAAACTGCCAAAAAATAAAATGTAATTAAGTGCTTTTGGAACATTACTTTATTGAAATCAAACGTCTAATCTGACAGTCCTGGATTTATGGAAACATAGCCTTTTTTAAAATTCATGAAGCTGGGTTTAAATGTGTACTGTAAATGAAACAGGATATTTATAGAACAGAGAGATGAACATAGAGATGTTAGATAAATGGGTCACTAGAAGGTGTACTGTAGATTGTATTTACTTTAGCTCATCTTTTACACTATTCTAGAAATACAGGGTAACATTCACAAAACTTGCTGTTTAATTTACAAAGCTGCATTAGCAAGACACATAAAGGTATCAAATAAGTTTTATGTGTGCCAATCATTTGGAGCCTTCATAATGAAACCTGGGTGTGTTCATTCTTTTCTCAAGTCAACCGATCATCTTTTAATTTACTCTTAAGCTATGTGGCTGTAATGAATGATCCCAAGTAGAATGAAAACAATTTTTTATGTATTTGTATCCTTGAACGTTTTTCACCCAAGTCTTATTTTTCAGGCTTATGCAAATAGTCTAGCAGATCAGCATTACAGGCTGATGCTGAAGAAGAAAGTGTGGGCAGCCTGGCACTCTGTCATTGAGGTCAACTGGAGAGAGAGAGTGGAGCGTGCCTGTCAGGCAAGAGCTGAGGAGGTCTGCCATCAGTTATCCAGTGACTATGCGGCAAAGATGGCAGAGGTAAATGCGTAGTTCAGGAAGGACCTTTGTTGTAATTTATTGCATATTTATTGTCATTCAGTTATGTGTTATTTTCAGTTCATTTTATTCCACGCATTTGTTTTTAGGGGCATTTTTTCTTGGTACATCTACTGTATGCGTTTTATTATGAAGTGTTAGTCTGAAGTCTCTGAACCAAACAAACAAACATTTTTCCTCTTCTATCATAACGACAGAAGAATTTGGAAGACTAGAACAAGATTTTACAATGTGTTGCCGTCAGAAAAAAAGCTATTCTGGTTAAAATATGTTGCTAGAAATGTTAATTGTCATTGAAATTAATTGCCATAGCCAAAATGGTTACAATGAGTGAGTATGATTAATGGAGAACATTGCATGAGCCCAACTACCATGAAGCCAGCTCTGCAGTGTAGCCTACTGGTTACTCAGCTCACTTTGTGTGGGTGAAGAAAGTACTTATTGTTCCCTTTCTCATAAATATTGATAGATATTCCCTATCTCTGAGAAGAATAAAACCCAAAAGAAGAACATTCAGAAATAAATTAGAAAAGTTTCTCTAACAAATGTGCTTTGATCATCCATAAACATATCTTCAAAATGTCATATGAATGCATATTTTTGTAAAAATACAATTATTGTCAAATTCTTTCCATTATGCACATACACCTATGATGTATTTTCATCACTGGGCATTTAAAGATTTATATATAGTTTGCTTTATTGCTGATTAAATGTTTGTTAGCATTATTGACACCTAGTGATGAATCTGGGAATTTCTGGTGAGATGTGAAATCTTTGGGAAAAGTAAAATTAAATTCTTAAAAATAATTAAAATGTATATTACTAGCCTCTGAGATTTGAAGACTAGGTTGTCATATCTGTTAAATGTGAAACTATTATAGGTGGTTATCATACAGTATACACAAAATAGTCAGGTTTGTATTTTTTGTGTTAAGTTGCTTAAATTAGTAAATTAAGTAAGTAAATTAAACTACACATTTTAATGACTTTGGGGTGGTTAATTCTTTTAAAAAGACTTGGCTGAAACCTCTCTTAGATGATGACATGCAGGGCTGTGTGAGAGAAACTAGGAAGCTAGGAATATAGAGAGAGAATCAGATAACAGAGATTAAGTGGAAAGTACTACAGAAACAGAGGAAGTTGGAGTTTTGGTTTTCACTAGTCTGAGGACAACCACACTGGGTCTGGGTTAGAAGAAATGAACACAACTCTGTTTTGTCTTGAATGCTCAGAGAATAAGAGAGGAACACATGGAACAGACAATGTATGATAAGGACAATTGATGGATGGAGTTGGATCAATAGTTGATCAACTTCAAGCATGAGAAAGGAGTGTTTAGAAATCAAAGGACTTCAGTAAGGACTGCTCCTAAGGTTGAGTTTCTGATGCCTGCTTGCCAGCTGTAGTTTGAATGGCAGAGGCTCATCTGTGTCTTCTTACCAAGAAGGCAGGCATCAAGATGCAGTATTTCTAGCAACATTCAAAAGAGTGGCGAGATTTGGTAGTGTCCTAAAGCACAATGGGCCATTGGGCACGTGATTTTGCTAACTGGTAATGTGGAAGTAGGAAGATACCTGCACAACACAGTATAAATCTTTAGAAACTGTTTGTGCAAGTCACATGATATTATAGGCACACAGTTATTTGTAATGGTTCATAATGAGACATAATTTTTTATGTCTTTATTGATCCTCACGGGATCAATAAAGTATCTATCTGTAAGTTCTTGTCTTTGACTGAAAACGTATAAAAAAACTCCAGGTAGAAAGAAATAAACAAATGATGGAAGACTTGAGAGCAGACCTTCTGCAGATGCAGCTCAATTACAGTGATCCTGGTATTTTTGAAATATGGTGGGGTTTTTTAGGATTCAAGCATTACTGAAATTTAGAAATTACAATGGGGAGTAATTGTATTTTGTTGCATTATTTATTGCAACTAAACTTCTTTTTAAGCAATTTGTATGACATGAAATTAGAAATTTAAAACCCATATGAATACACAAAAGGCAGTAAAGCATTAAGTACTGGAAGCACTTCCTAATACAAGATGATATGACCTGTGAAAACTATTTACTGGACCAAATAAAACCCCAGCTAATGCAATGAAATAACACAGTATTATAGAAATGAATGTTAGTTTTAATTGAAAATTTTCAATTTCAGCTGTCTGAAGAACTAAGCAATGCAAGAGGGGAGATCCAAAGGCTGCATTCGGAAAGGGACCGATATGAAGATTCCATGAAAAAGGCTTTTATGCGTGGGGTGTGTGCCTTGAATATGGAGGCAATGAGCATGTTTCATGGAAGAGAGAGCAGGCTTGAGTCTGGTTAGTAAATTTGAAATGTCCTTGACCTAAAACAAAATTATTTGTGCCATATTCTAAGATGCACTTCCAACTTGATTTTTCTTTACTATGTTCTGAGATCACCATAGTGTAAGATATTGTTATAGAAGAATCGAATTAATTTTGTTGCTGCTTCTGCTGGACACTAAAAAGCTCTTACCTGCCCAGAAGGTCACTTAAAACCTTCATGAAATTCAGAAACAAATGAGCTTGGAACATATTTTCTTTAAAAATTATGTTTCTTTAATTTTTCATTACCGTTCCAGTGCTACTGAATACTACTGTACAGTATGTTGCTTCAACTGTAATACCCACAGCCCACCCCTGTGGCAGCAGGAAAACTCCAGACTGGTCCACTTAGTTTACAGGGGAGTGTAACAGGAAGGAGTTGCAAAATTATTACAACATTACAGAAATTTCACTTCCTCCATGATGATAAAAATATTATTTTCTGCCCTCCTTAGCATGTTCACAATCTTTTGTGTGTTTGTATTATCCTCATATTGTTGCAATTTTTTGCATTCCCCCACACACTGGAAGAATGCTATCAACAGCTAAAACATCTTTTCATCTTTCTGTTTCATTTTCGGGATTGAATTAACTTATTTTTAATCCTAAAAAACATCCTAATGTGTAATCTTTTTTTAGGTAAACCTGTTTTTAACTCCCTTTTATTTATTTGTATAATACTCTTTTGACCAAACACAGAAACAGATGAATGCTGACGCAGCTACCCACCTGAACTGCATCTGTTAGTATTGTTTTTGGTCTTTTGTAAATTCTGATTCATTCTTGAATTTCTAAACGTCTTGTGCCACTGATCAGATATTATTTTGATTTATTCCTGTTGTTAAAACATCACTGGAATATCTTTGAAATCCATAGACATTAATATAATAATGCACTTCTCTTAATGGCAGGAAACATTATATTTTGACGTAATTGGCAAATCAACATCACTCTGAAGTGCATCATACCATGTTCCTGTTGAAACATTTAAAATCCTGTCATTTTATCCAATCTACTTCGTATGGAAAAACAGTCTTTTTTTTTTTACTTCTGTTTATTCAGTACAGCTTTCTGATAGCTTTCGCTGTTAGAGTTAACTCGCCTCAGCATCGTTTTGTCTGGCTACTAAATCTACTACAGGATCATTATCCGGCGTAAAATAGTACCCTAAACTACCTGCATATTTTTCATTTCTTCATTAAAAAGACTGAAGTTGAAGTTAAGGGAGAGTACCTTTGCTGTCTTTAGTGAATCTTGCAACTGATGTATGGCAAACACAGGCCTTAGGGAAATCTGATTTCCTTCCCTGAGTTCACATTTCTTTCAGATGAATACTAAGGTTTCGGGAGCCGTTTTGACCTCTTGGGTGCTGATAATGTTTATAGCAGCTTGGTTTTCCTTTTCATGTCTGTATGTGCAGACCGCCCGCCCTCGCGGGAAGAGCCTAGCTCCAGCTCCTCGGCTCCCTTCCCGCCCCAGCCAGCCCCCTCAGCCCGCTTCAGCCCAGTGCACCTTGAGCCCCCCGGCCCCCCAGCCAGCTCCAGCGATGCAGAGCAGATGGTACGATCACTGGGGTAAAGTAACTCCAAGAGCGCTGATCACCTCACCGTCCAGGAACATCTGGTCTTTCAGTCTTTTCTCACGTATTTCATTCCAGAGGAATAATATTCTTCTACCAAAATGTATTTTTCTCTTTTTCTCTTCAAGTTTTCAGAATCCCTTGGAAAACTGTATCTTAGTATCTTCTATTACCTTTCCTCGAGTACTGGAAATAGAGAAACACCACTATAAAGTGTTTTTTAAAGGTATCAATTAGAAGAAATACTTACTATGAATTGTGTATTTTCCAAGGAAGAGGCTAGTACACTTTAAACTTTTAATTAGTGTGAATTGGTAATCCAATCCAAGTTTTTTCTGTTGCAAATAGTACACATTTTTATGAAAATGCAAATATAAAAACATATTTGTACAACAATTTGACAAAGAAATAACCAGCACTGGCTTATGTGTTGAAATGCAATGACGACATAGAGTAAACTAAATCTTATACACATTATACACATTATACAGTACATTATAAGTAAAAATCTATCAGACCACATGGTGCATTTCCTCATGAAATTGTTGTATTTTGGCTCCTGGAAACTGTCATCTTTGGTACTTTAAATTGTACCACAGAAATAAAAAAAAGGATTAGGGGCTTGTTTGTTCTTGGGAGATTTAAATCCCCTGCTGCCTCTTTATTTGATTTATTTTTGTGTGAGATATTCTTGGAAATGCTGTTCGTGGTTCTCGCCTGGCCAAGATATCTTAAAAACAATGCCACAAGAGGTCACTGTATCAGCATAACATCACAAGTTAATTTTATTCCACAAATAATGTGGCCATCTTTAATAAAACTTTGTTGACATTGAATAGATTGATTACCGTTATTCCCTGTGTATGTGTTTTCTTCTAGTTCATTTCTCATTTTGGACCTAGCAGTGCTGCATCAAGGACAGCAGATTGCATTTCCTCAGCCACTGTTGTCAATAGTGCAGCTCCAACATCCGGCCCTGTATCAGCCCACAGATTGGTAATAGTATTATTGATTTCTTTAAATAAATGAGAAACCATAGGAATGTGATGGCTTTCTAGCTGCAGGTCAGTTTAACGAAAGCAGTTTAGATCTGCAACCACAAATTAATTGTTTTATATAAAACTCCTTAGCTTTTATCAAAGCTAAGATTTCTCATCTTTTATCTTTTTATCAATTATCTATAGTCTACTAAAGTGGTGGCTGTTATTTGGTAACTTTTTCAGTGCAGTGCAATTTATTTTTTTAAAGTCAATCTCGGTTCAGCAGCAGAACTAAAACTAATGTTATATTAAAATGGTGATAACCTGTCTATTTCCCCAGATTCAGTCATTTCATTTTTATTTCAGTAGCTGTAAAATAGTAAGATGGTAATGGTATTGTATTACTATAAAACTTAATTTAATATTGATTTCTGTGCTTTTCTCTTTTTTTTTAAACTTTCATCTCCTTAGCCTACTACTCGTGTTGTGACTTCATCCCAGCAAAAAGCCAGCAAGACAATCACAGCCCGCATCACTGGCCGGACAGACCTGGGTCCTAAGAGCAGCAGAGTGACTGGAAATTTGAGTGTCATGGGGGTGGCACCCCCCATGAGTTCAGTTGTGGTGGAACGACATCATCCAGTAACACAGGTGGGCTAGTTTAAATCTTCTTAAAACATTTAATTAAACTCGAATGTTTGTAAACATTATTTTAGAAATATAAAATCTAAACATGATTTCATAAATATTTAGTGTTATATATGGTAAGTATCCATTATGCCTTTGAAAGTGCTACAGTATTTATTTAAGTCATTAGAATAAAAGACCAGTGTCTTTAAAGCGAAATGTGATTTTCTTAAGGCACAGTTAACCATTTTTCCATTACTATGGGATGTGAAAAAACTGACATGTATTATTTTAATAATATTTAGCCTTGTGAAATATAAAACGATTATCAATCGTTTAATAATTAAGACCTTCCCATTGATACATTTTTCACACCAAAATTTGCTATTCTAGGTGTTACTAGAACATGTTAGCCAAATCGAGGCTTATCCTTGGTGTACTGCATTGAGTGTGCTGTTTTTTTTACTTCATCCAGAAAATTTAACAGTTCCCTGTGTTTTGAGGGCCTTTTATTAATGGATACACTGATACAGCACCCATACAGCCATCATCCTGGTTCAGCACAAATTTCATAACACTTTATTTGAATGAGACAAAAAAGAACTACCTCATAAACTCTAGACAGCACAATAAAAAAGACCGTCATGGAATCATATAGCAAAATTATGAATAAGGACCACAGTTATATTAATTTTCAGGTCACATGTCCTTAATGGTGTTTTCCATTATTTTCTCATTACTTTTCTGAAAGCTCCTCAGCTTTCAGAGAACCATTACAAATAACCAAATGAACCGTTACAAATAATAGTATGCATATAATGTAATTAAAAAATCTTCAAAAATCTTTGCAAGGGATTGTACATGTTATGTCATGTTGTGTAGCATTTATGAAGGTGTTATGACAGCTTTTTTAGTGTCATTCAAGTAAAGCGTAACCTGTATCTCAATGACTCAATGTTTTGGGGTAGAGCACTGTAAATTAAATTGCTTAGATAGCAAAGCGATTGTGGTGAGCTAGGTGGCCAGTTACTCAGGAAGAACAAGCAACTTTGCTTTTGACCATTTAGTCTCGGGTACACTGGTTGGTGTTATTACATTGGTTGCAAAATTTGAAACTTTTTTGAATGTTCCTAGTTCTGGAAAACATGAACTTGAAATAATTAAATGCAAAAAATTATTAAATACAGTACTCATTCCAATATGTTGCCTCTCGGTATAGAATACACTTAATAAAAAAGTATTTTCAGTACTGGATTCCAGAACATCATTGCATAGCAAGGTGGCAAAGGAAATCCGGCACTGCCTCGTAAGCAACTTTGTTCTTTCCTTGGATTTGAGGCTGGTAGACGCTGGTAGAAAGCAGTCTACGTTATGTTTCAGAAACACACTGTCCTGTCCTAGGTCCTGACAGCAATCAAGCGGGACTGAGTAAAACTGTTATTTCTGTTAACGGAGTAATGTTATTTTAAACAAGAGAGAATTATCTATATATGATTATCTGTGCTTATGTGGTAAAAAGTGAAGAATCTTTGATGCTTTTATTTTATTTTTTTTAGCTTGGCTTCATTTATAAGCCTCCTAAAGATATTGAATAAGTATTACAAAAATAGGTACTTTTTCTGTCAGTGTATGACTTTTTTCTTCTATTTTTATGTATTTTTGTGTTATTGTTTTTTCTTGTCATTTAATAATTATAACCCCCCCCCCCAAAAAAAAAGAATACACTTAATAAACAATAGTGGGGGAATCAACGAGGAGAAAACAGACTTGCCTTTAAACCTTTTACGTGTTGGTAGTACTGTCAGTCTCCATTGTTAATCCTCATTCTTATTGTATGTATCGCTGCTCTTTCCCATTTTGTCACCATGCTTCTAGATGTCTGTGTGACTTTAAGAATGTGATCATTTAATGTGTATTTTGCATTTATCGTTGATCTAGCTCACCATTGGGCAGGCAACAGCTGCAAAGTATCCCCGATCGACAAATCACAGCTCTGCGCCTGCAACAGCTGGGAAAGGCTCAACACACGCCGGGAGAGCTCATCACTCCTCTTCTAACATTCAGTCCATAAAGGTGGTGGAGTGAACTGGCACAAATTCACAAACACTTTCCGAGATTGAACTGAAGGATTGAACTTTGAACAAATCTTAATCCTAATAAAATTAATTTGAAGTGTGTAAAAAATCTTTATTTTTTAAAATTGCATTGACTCCTAAATAGCCAGAATTCAGTCTTATTGTGAGGCTTTATTTTTTTTTTACCTTTAGAAAGCATTGGTAATGCATTTTTTTATTTAAATCTTCAGGTTTTTTAAATTATATTCAGCTTTTGTATTGGATATGTATGTTTTGTACATCCTGTTTTTTTAATAATGGAGCCATGGCAACAAAAGTATTCAATACATTTTGAAATTTTAAAATAAAGTTTGATTGCAGTGTCTCAATTCTCAATATTTGGATTTCCAAAAATAGCAAGGAAGGTTCTGCTTGACATTTGCAGGCTTTAAATCGACAAACATAATTTCATTTACACACATTTTATGCATACCGTACGTACTGTAGCTGTGTTCTCATTCTTTTTTGGGGGGGTTTTGAATCAGTCTGTGCTTATGTCTTTTACATGGTACATTTGAATAATATAAGAATTAACTGTGGTCAGCCATGGTGGAAATTCTGTACCACCATATGAGAACTCTGATGTAACTGTGTAGTTTAACAAGAAGAAAGTTTCATAAGCAGAGTGCAGTAAATATCCACTCCTTTTTCCTCAAGCAAATGCATTGGTCTGTCTCTAACAAAACATGGGCCCAATGGCTGATTTTAATTTCCATCCAGCATTTTAAAATTGAATTAGCAATAGAGAGAAAGGATCAGTGCTGCTTTCAAATGATCTCGTTGAAAAATGTTGATGGTGGTGGGTGAGAGGACCAACTGTGTTTCACTTGGTGGGTGAAGGTTCAGGGGGAGTTCACTCACATGGCCTCCCTATGATATTCTTTGTCTTTTGTCTGCTTTTCATGTCTAGATTACCTTGTAGATTAAGAATTAAAGAATGAAAAATTGATTCAGTTATATTAGTAATTATATTAAGAACTGAAGGGATTTCTGTTTAATGGCAGCTTCCAAGAGTGGATGAAAACATACACATTCTTGCGGAGTTGTGTCTCTGCTCTCTAGCTGGTCACAGATAGTCCAAGGGAAGACGGTACCATCAAACTTCTCTCATGAAGACTTTAGTAGTAGCAATACTACTAAAAAGTGTTAGGAAAGTGTTAGGTTTCCAGTTACAGCAGTAATACTGTTTCTCCTGCAGTTAAAGTTTTGCCACTCAGATAATATCCATGGAATTCATCTCCTACATAACAGAGTATGTTGGTTTTAGGGCTCCCCAGGGAGGTGTCAAGAAACTGTACATTTCTTCATTTCTTTGCCAGTAGTTTCAGCTCTTATTTTGTCTGGAAGAAAAAAATGAATTTGTTCAAATGCCTTCAGTTAATAAGCTTTAAATACAATGTCTGTAAAATATAAGGAGACTGCAAGTGTTGTAAATGTGAACACTGAAAAATAACATTAAAGACTTGTTTTACTTTTCTACAAGAAAATTATGAATAACCAGCTGTTTTGCTAATCCGTGTACTTCAAATTCAGCCAGAAACTGTCATGGTTTGCCTTTTATTTTTATAAGCCCACAAGACAAATATATTTGTAGCAAATTATATATTTTCAGTTTGTCCAGTGTAAGCAAACTGAAAATAAAATGCATTTGAATACAGTATGTAATTCTACCATGCAAAATAGTGTTATAATTACTGGATGTTGTTGAAGAAAAAGAAGATAAAGAGGTTGTTGATGTTCGGTAACATTCGAAACATTGTTACCAGCACATGAAAATAAATGGTCACTTTTTATTATTTAAAAACAAACTTAAAATAAATTTGCAATGCGAGTTTGGGAAAAACCTCGACAATGTTGTCTATCTCACTTTGTTTAAGAAAAGGACAAAGGGAGAGGGAAAAATTGTGAAAACTGTTAGAGAAGATCCAACTTGTTTTCCATTATGTGTGAATTTTTAAAGAATTCGGAGTCCTCAGAAGAAAGAACTTTTAATGATCTAGATGCAAAGAAACTACGTTCCTTTATTTGTGATTTAGATTTTCATGCGCCTACCACTTCCTAGAGTGGTTTTAAGAATTAAAAAAACATTAATAATGAACAACATTGCAGAGGGGCCATTCATTATGACATATGTTTAAAGGAGATGTTTTATGTTTGTTTTTAAGCTAGTGATAATGATAATTCCTTATACTTATATACTGCAGCTCTTTTCTGGACACTTTTCTCAAAACTATTTACAGGTGTTGTTAATATGCATGTGCATTCAATGCCTCAGGTAAGATTTTAAAATGTATTATCATTTTTTTTCAAACTTTTGCATTTAGGGCAATTAAGGCAATTTATTGGATACTCCTCCACCACCAACAATGTGTACCCCCCACCTGGATGTGACGGCAGTCATAGTGCACCAGTATGCTCACCACACATCATCTTACAGTGGGGAGGAGAACAGCTTCAAAAAGGCTTCACAAAAGCTACACATACAAAAAATGCTTTTTAAATGCCGAGTGGGTTTAAGTATAATATGCCTTATTCTGCAGTGTAAATGAAACTTACCTGCCACACTTTTACTTCCTATAGAAACCAGGGCTTCATAGAGTTCTTTACCAGGACTCTTGTCTGTTATCAGGATTCCATGTAGCCAGATTAATATCATCCGGTGTCCATGTTCCTGGTAACTCTTCGGTCCTAAAATAGAAAATAAAATGGCTGCAGTTTTCATGTTTCTGCATTTATTAAATGTTTATTTACATCCTGTAGAAAGCAATAAAACCCTTAATTCAATTCAGACGTCATTTATGACTGGCACAAAAGGATTTGGGTGTATTAACAAGAGTGCACTGTACATTAGTTAAAACTCTGATAAATGTTGACATCCCTCAAGTATTTAAAAAAAGACAAAGTTCAGATAGCTAGATTGAGCACTGTCCATATTTGACCAGCAGCTTTGTTGTACAAATAAATAAAAGATCTGTTTATTTTTTAATTAACATTTAGAATTACTTCAATAATGTCTTCACAGCATTTCTGGGATGCATTCCAACTCATCTACATGTTGCAGCAACACTACCAGGTTCAGTGTATTTAATTGAAATATACAAGACTCACTGATAGGAATGCTTTCTTTTTGAATGTGTGGTATATGGTAATAATTTCAATTACTTCTTAGTACACAATGTCTTTTTAAATAGTTGAAAGATTCATGAACATTTTCATTTTTTTAATACCTTCTTGATTCACAAGGACAGCACAATATTCATGTTTTGTTTAAACATTAAAGCAGGGTGAATGGTGGTCTCTTACCTGTCCATTGCTCTTCAATGTCTGCTATGTGCTGGTCAGTAAAATCCCAGTGTCGTGCCAACTTCTTCCAGTCGTTAGGCTTTAATAAGTTGTAGGCAAGATTCCAAATTGTAGCGCGGATCTGCTTGGTCTCTGCTTTGTGGTCTAATTTAAATGTCAGCGGAGATTCATAGTGAAGGGTTTCATTAGATTCAGCATGTGTCTGAAAGGATAATCAAATCTCGTTATTTCCTGCCCTACTACTTTGAGAAAGGACACCCAATTTACAATCAAGAGAAGTGAGTGGGATTGAAAGGCTTCTCAAACAAAGGCATATTTATGTATCCACCTCAATTGTTCAAAGAACAATTTTAAAATCCATTCTGAGTCATCTTGCTGGTAAAATTGCTATTACAGGATGTGCTCACATGAAGACTTTTACATGGTGCAAATTTGTTTTTGAAATTTAGCAGCCAATGCCCACTGGTTAGCTTCCTGCAACATGCAGAACATTTTCGCTTCCCACTGGGAAAAAGGTCACAATTTATTCACTTACCGATAAGCTGAACCAGAACCTGTCGATTTTCACTCAGACACTCAAACATGGGCCTATATGCACGGGAGTCAAAAAGAAGCTATAGAGTTCTGAACTCGGATCGCCATACGAGACTCAAAGGCCAATGATACTGTATGTCCTCTCATCATTCATGTACCTTTTTCCACGCGTAGTACCTCTCTGCTTTTATGATCATGTCCACAATAATCACTGCATTTCCCCTGGCTGCTACACCCAGTGCAGTTTTACCTTGCTGTAGGAAGACATAAAGGTTACAGGAAGGATCTCTGCAAAAACCAAGGCATGTACAGTATGCAATGAACCCTTCACAGTAACACTGAGTGCTAACTGTAGCTGAAAGACCAGCGTTTGCCACTCTTAATTTGCTCTGTTAGCAACAGAAAAAAAACATGAATGAGGAATGAGTTCAAAGCATCGAACAATACCATCATAAGCACCATCATAAAGAGTTATTTAGTAAGTTTAATCAGTCTGAAAAACCTTCAGTGACTATTTTGTGTCAAGCTATGGACTACTGTGGAGAGAAATCACTGGAAATGTGCCACGCATGCAGTGGGAAAGAAAATAGTACTGTATCTGCTCATTTGAATCTGCTCAATTCTGCTCATTGGATTAAATTAACCCACAGTAGATAGAATATTTACTGCTCAGGTTCAAACATTACATGGGTATGGTTGGGGGACAATGCAGAAAATGATTGTAATGGCATAGCACACTGATGAATAATGAACCTACACATTTTATGTGCACACCATGTGAAAAATATGATCTTTGATCAAATGTTCTGGAAAGACAAAACAAGTCACTTATCCAGCAAACCATCATCCATAATCAATCTATAAAGACACTACAGCCCTCGGACTAAGCCTATTGGAAATGTGATTATCTGTACCAGGACACACAGAGAAATCTCTGTACTAAAAGGATACTGCTTCCTACACCTCAAAGGAATAGGATCCAGGCAATTCTGTAAATTCTGCCGGCTCATCATGGAACATCCACAGGTATCTCAATTTTACCTCCTCCCCAAAATCCACAAACCGGACACCCCT